CCCCAAAACCCCAAAACCCCAAAACCCCAAAACCCCAAAACCCCAAAACCCCTGGAAAATATCTCGAGGTTGAAATATTGGTTGCGATAATTCTTAGTATTTTGCTAACTGAGTATAAATCATCTTTGGAACATACCAACTTGTTGCGATGTAAGTCTTATTGGGAATCACAGAGCCAGCTTCAGAAGGAATATAATCTCTGTTATTTTCATCATCAACAGCTTCAATTTTTCCATCATAAACCTTTGTTTCAAGAATTCTAAAAATATCTTCATCTGAGAAATCTATTTTAGGAGTTCCCATCATATCGCCGGTTGACATATGACCAAACTTTTGAGACCTTATATAGATGCTTACTTGCTTTCTGTCAGCTCTTCCCTGAGACCTAATATAATCAACTAATTTCTGACCAATGAGATCCATCAATTCAAGATCAAAGACATCATCAGCTAGGATCCCACCAGTGACTTCTGGACTTGGCTCGACACTCATAAGCATCCAGACCTTCCTATTTTTAGCCTTAATAGTCTTAACGCCCTTAATAAATCCTTTCTTCTCAAGCTTTTTGACGATCTGACTCGCATTAGAAGAAAGTGGACCTGCTTTCTTCTTAATATCAGTGATCCAAAGACCTTTATTGCCAGATTCATCAATGAACTTATATATCATCGCCTCTTCAGGTGATAGCTCTCTTAATTTCTGAGCTTCCTCCTCGCTGATATATTTATAAACGATATCTTTATCTGCATTCTCAGTGACCTCTATTCTACATGTAGAAAGTAATGCATTAATTGCAGTCAAACGGTCTTCATCCTTGACCTTTTTCAACTTCTTTGAAAGTACTTCATCCGAGAGCCCTTCAGGGCTGTCGTTAAGAATATTTAAAATATGCTTCTCTAAGCTCATTTTTAAGACTTATGAGATAAATATTATAAATTCATCCACTATTATTTTGTGAGGGGTTTTGGGGTTTTGGGGTTTTGGGGTTTTGGGGTTTTGGGG